TTACCTCACCAGGGATGGAGATATATAGTTAAGTATCATCAGCATACTGATGATACCTCATCCCATGATGACGGATGATCTCACCCAGCGGTTTCACATATATGTTGAAAAGGTGTTGGGAGAGAACCGAACCCTGCGGCACCCCACAGAGAAGGGGCCGAGGATGGGACCTCTCGCTCCCTATCACCACCGATTGGGATCGGCCCCGGAGAAAGGAGGCAAACCAGCACAAGACCGTGCCGCCCACCCACATATCCCTGAGCCATCCCAATAGGATACCGCGGTCGATGGTATCGAACGCCACTGAGAGATCAAGGAGAGCAAGGATGGTCGCACTTCCACCATCCCGCTCCCGCCAGAGATCATCCATAAGTGCGACCAATGCCGTTTAATAATTTGCTTTAAGTTATAATATAATGTAAATGTCAGTCCTTTCAGCCACATATTTTCCTTTTTTAAAAACAGTAATTTTATTAAAGATTACAATTACAACCCTTCTCACAAAATTCTTGAAAACTTTAACAAGCCTCTTTTGTAAATCCAGTATAGGAAAATTATCCAAGTCTCTCTTGGTTTGTTATTTGTAAACCCCTTTTAATTATTAAGATTTCAGCAAGTTTCTTTTGTATGTCCAGTGAAACATCTTTTTCCACGTCATTCTTGTAGACTGTCATTTTTAAATCCACTTTCAAATCAGTCTCGATCTTGTCATGTAAAACTTGCTCCCATAAAATCTTTTAAATACAATCTATCTATAGAGACAGACACTCATAAAATTAACTTCTGAGTCCATTGTTCAAAAATATCCCTCAATATGTCCAATGTTAAAATATTTTGCTTCATTCTGTAATTGTAAGTTGCATTTGAGTGTTCTTCTCCTTTCATTACAATCTCTAATTCCCTCTAGTGTCCAATTTTTAAAGGCTTATCTTATATATTTTTTTTAAAGAATTCAAAACAAAAGCATTTTCCTATGGGAAGGATTCTTTATAATTCATTCCAAATCCTTTATTTCAAATTCATCTGGACCCCAGTCCATTTGTAACTTTCTAAAATTATGTTAACCATCTCTCTTTGCCTGCTGTTTCTTTTTTATAAAATGCTTCTTGTGCTGAGACCCATAAAGGCATTTTCAGGCAGAATCTGGGTTTATAACTATTCCATATTCTCAATATGGCACTTCTAATAATAGTGATTTTTAAAATCTACATTAACCTTAACTTTATCATGCCATAGAAAACTATTCCATTCAAACCTTAGGTCATGCCCTCCTAGTTCTAAAATTCTCTTATTTCTCAGCAGCACCCACTCTTTCACCCAAATCAAGTGCAGGCTGCAAAATACAATTTCAAATCAAGCAATCCCAATCCTCCTCATTCCTTTGCATCTTGGAGGATTTTATATTTATCCCTTGGCTTTTTCCCTTGCCATACAAACCTAGAAATATATTTTTTGCCATTGCTTAAATGGTACATCAGTTGTCAAAATAGGTATTGTTTGAAACAAAAACATCATTCTAGGCAATACATTCATTTTTATCACAGAAATTCTCCCCAGCAATGACAACTGTAATTTCTCCCATCTTAGCAGGTCTTTCTTAATTTCTTTCCATGTCTTAACATAATTGTTTTGAAATAATATACAAAGTTTATAAATATGGTTTAATCAATGTAGCTGGCAAAATATAGAGGGCCCTCAAAACCAACTTACTGCACATTTGTTTAACTGGTTCCTATGACTCAGTATTTTTCAACCTTTCACTTACAGATGTGTTGGCATTGTAATTTTTAAAATTCTAGCCAGCTTGCTGGCTTAAATTCTGGACTGATAGTCAAAATGTATTTGGAGGAGATTAGATTGGGGACTTCAAATCATAGTTTCAATTACCATCAATTTAATGGTAGCTAGTTTACCACAGATTTTAAGGGTCTACTGAATGTAGGCAACATCTGATAAAAGTATTTTACTTGCAGACAACATTGATTCAAGAACTAATTAAGCACAGTTTAAGTTCACATGATTTTGTGTGCTGAAGTCTTTGAAAGGTAGAGCAGGATCCAAATATAGCGACTGAATCAATTCCCAGAGATTGCATAATTCGGTTCCTTCCAGCATTCTTTGCAATTCAAAAACACAATAATTCATGGAAGCATTTGTGCAATATTATTATAAGAAAATTTAATGAAAACAGGTTAAAAGTTGAAGACAGGCTACTCTTGATCAGAGATGTAAGAATCCTACCCAATTTGAAATCTCATTTCTAGTGGTAGAAATGTTAAAATAGTTTGCATGTTCTGCAAGGATCATGAGACCAATGAAAGTTCTCACACTGGATGAGGGACCTCACAAGAAAGACCTTGAAGGATGCAGCTGTAACTTTAGCTACACGTGGTATCAGAGATTCTGGAGATAAACGCAGAAAGGAATGCTACCTCCCACTCTAGCTGACTTACCGGAAAGGTCCTTCAGGCTTGTCAGCATGAATTGCCATGGATATTGCTGCAGGCACATCACTGACTGAGGTGGTGGCAGACTGGCTCACGACCAACGTGCTTGTTGTAGGGGGTGCTTGGCCAGGCGTCAAAGACAAGGGGGGAGACGCAGTGCCATGAACAGGAGCAGAAGTGACTGGAAGGATGAGGGGATCCTGCTGCCTAGAGCCTGTTGGCCTCGGCACAGAAGGCACGTTCCGCTGAATTGCCGGTCTTGGTGGCGGGGCCTGCTTGCGGAGCCTTTTAGTGTAGCCTGTTTCATTTTTGAAGTTATTTACAGCCTAAAGAGAGAAAAATGAATGAACTGATGAGTCAAAACTTTCTGAAATAACAGCATGGCTTCACTTCCACAGGGGTCATTTGCTGCATTGTACAGGGTGGATGTTAGAAACAAGGGCTGTATCTGCATTACATATTTCACTTGGTGACTTAATGAATATGTTTTCTGGGTTCATAGAATACCTTAAATTTAAACTGTTCAACCAGACTGAATTTCTACAAAATGCTAAGCAAAAGACTAAAAGACAAAACACTGTCCACCAAGATTAACACTAATCAAGAGTAATGTGTGATGCAAATAGATAGACTATGTCTTCACCTATTTACTTACACATGATGTAAACAGAGTAAGCAGCAGAACAGATTTCCCATCTTTGTACAGAAACTTAACATTCATCTGGTCTTGATACAGGAGGAAGAGAGACACTTGGATAATTCTGTCAAATCACAGACCAATCAACCAGCTTAATCTGATCATCTTTCCCTCTAAATGTTCAGCAGAACCTCTCCCACTCAGAACAGTATAAAGTGATTAAAAAAACAGCAGGGGAAGTGCACTCAGAGATTAATATAGGTAGATTTGCAGTTACCTGGCGTAAAAATTTGTTGGCAATTAAAGCATCAGGAGAAACATCTGTCTGATGACAAGTTGGACAGGTATGTTCCTCTGATTCTAGCAAGGATGTTCGGATACCTGTAAATAATTTGAAAATTCCATTTTGAATGCACAGAACATTATAACCAGAGTATGTCAGGGTATGCATGGATGGACAAGTATAGCACAGTTAAGAACTTTTAACAGTCACCAATGTCTAAAGGACACTAAATTTTAAGTGCTGCAGCTAAGTGTGAACTAGGAACCCTACATTCAGTTCTGGGCACCACAATTTAACAGGGATATGGAGAATTTACAACCGATTTGGGGAAGATCTACCAGGATGATAAGGAATCTGGAAGGCAAGCATCATGAGGAATGGCTAAAGAAGCTGAGCAAGAGAAAACTAAGGGGGGATATAACAGCGGTATCTAAAAGCTTGTCACCTGGAAAAGAGGGCAGATCTGTTTTCCACTCAGACCAATGGGTTGAAATTAAAGAAAGGAGATTCAGGATGACTATTAGAGGGAATTTCTTGGTGATGGCCATCTGCTGGGGATGGTTTGGCAGACTCCTGCACTGAGCAAGTAGGTTGGAATAGCTCCTGTCTATCTGACACATATACCGCATGCCTTCACAACTCAGATATGTAGAACACACCAATTCTACGTGGAGCAGGCAGTCCTGAAGATAGCCAGGTCCTAAGCCATGAAAGGTTTTATATACCAGCACTTTGAATTGTTCCTGGAAATCTATAGGAAACCAGTGTGGAGGCTGAAGAAGCGCAACTCTGATCAATAGATTTTACCGGGCAGCACATAGGCTGCTGTATTCTCTACCAACTGAAGCTTCTGAACAGGTAGGCTGCCTTGTGGTAGTCCAGATACAAGGTGACAAAAGTATGAACATCTGGCCCTAAGAAAGGCCAAATCTAGTCTAAGCTGGGAGAAGATTTTCTAGGCCTTAACTTCCACATATTCCAGCAGGAGATGGGTGTCCAAAAGAACACTCCAGATCAGAAACCTGCTGTTTTGGAGGCGTGCAGGCTCATTATAAAGTTGGTGCTTTTATGGAGCCAGATGATTTCTGGCTACTCTGTCTTGCTGGGATTCAATCTGAGCCTGGTTTGACATGTCCAGTTGCTGATGGCTTCCAAGTGACCTATAAGATCCCTTCCAATTCACATATTGATAACTGAATGATGCAATGCAGAAAACAAAACAAAAAAAGCAAAATAACTGACCAGTAAGAAATCTAACACGAAGGAACATGTTCTAAGGCTTTTCCTCTAACCTCAGGAGGACTGGTTGGAGGAAAAGCCTGTTGCATCTTCCAGGGCAAGAAGGGGCCATTCTGCTACCTTGCATTTCATCCTAGAATACCTGCACTGAACAGCTTAGGGAAAAAAAACAGCCTTTTAGCCCAGAACACGTTTGGTATTCCAGTGGCCATCTGAGTACTGATGGATCTGTATCTAGCTGCATCTGCACATAGCAATGTCTTGGGACATTTCCTGGTTGAGCTGAGTTGGCAGGATTCCAGCCCTCAACTATCTCTACAGTGTCAGGCTGCCCAAATCTCTATCAGCGTGTCCCTTCTATTCTATACAGCAATGAATAAAAAACCTATGACAGAGAAGGATGGAAGATTGTTTAAATGCACAGGTGACCACAGAAATTACAGGTTATTTGCTTTGTTGTTCATGGTCTCCACATATCACGCTGATGGGAGAATAGTGAACTTATTTATAGATGTTGGCGAAGGTGGTCCTACGAGGGAAAAGGACAAAGTTCAACTTTATCAAAGGAAGCTGCTTCTATGGCTGTTACTTCTGTTATGCTGCAGCCTTATGAATATCATGAAGGGGAACACCCTGAGAAAAGGCGGGAGAGGAAGCAGTAGCACTGGCGGACCATTCTTTATCGCCACCAGGACAGGGATGTAAAAGAGAGGAATATCATCCATGACACACATGTGTAAATTGCAGGGAAGAAACAAGAATGCCATGAATAAAAATCTCACAGAACAAGAAAGGTCACAAAAGAGGGAAAGAGGTGGCACAGCACTGGGGTGGATATGAGGACCACAAAGAATCAGAATCACTATGGCCCTGAGAAAAGCAGAATAATTTTTAGTAAGAGTCATACCAATTGCCAGTGTGACACCGGTCAGAAATGGCTCTCCCCTTGTGCTGCGTCCCCTTATATTGTGTATGAATGTGCACAAGGAAGCACCAGATGAGAGGGGGCTTAGAATGGAACAGGTGTATTCTTTTTTTTGAATTTAATTAATAATAAAAAAATTAAGTAGAATGGAATATTCAGCAACATTCTGAGCCAGTGTCTCCCCTACACGAGTTATTCTTTCTTTTAATCTTTCTTTTCCTCAGCAGCCTCCAGTATGATTCAGCCATTTTTAAACTCCATCTTTCTTTTGCCAGCTTGTTCCTCCAAACCAAATTTGCTCCATTTCCATCCAATTTTTGGAGAGTTATCCTGCTGCCGGACAGAATCCCCACCATCTTTAAATAACTTATTTCCAACATTCTATTGGATTGGAAAGAATTAAAAAGCCCAGTAATGCATAACCCATAAGGAAAACAGTCTACTTGAAGTTATCAAGGTAACTGAGGGCATCCAACAGGTACATGGATGGGCCTCCTGCTAGCTCAGCTCAAGAACATGCCAGAACATTGGTCTGCACAAACACAGATCCCTCCATGTGACACAAAGAGAATCACTGCTCTTTTCCCTTGCCTTTGGCTACTGAGCAGGCTACAAAACTCACATTCATCACAGTAGCTATTTCCACAACAGGGAATCACCACAGCATCAGTCATGATATCCTTGCAGATCAGACACAACAATTCATCTGGAATAGGATCATCTTCCTCTGAGGAAGATGATGGCTCCTCTGGCAAGAAAGGGGGCTTCTCTTTCTTCCCAATAGCATAAGCCTCGCTGGAAAAAATAAACATCAGTGAAATCTTTTGTTACCTTTGTAGGAGAAAAGTAGCATTAAGCATGTTATAATTTTGAGGACACGTCTTAAAATTTTTCTTCCACATTCCTGAACACAGATCTGGCCAAATTAATAGAAGCATTAACTCTAAAGCTGCATTTTAATTAGATAAAGATCATTTTATATTCAGTGAACTTGGCAGAGCCAAGATGGTGGGGAGACAGCAGCTTTTTTATTTATTCAGTGGACTAAAAGCAACTTATCAAACATTAGAAAGTTCAAAATTACTGAAACAGCAAACCAACAGCAGTAGAAAGTAACAGTACTTAAAATAGAGATTAACCCCTAAAGAGGCCACAGAGTAGTAGGAAAGAGCTTTCTGGGCAGTGACATGATTATTACTGACCATCATTTATCAATCCCAAATAAGTGATTAACTTATTAACTGATTAGGTGCTGGTCACGTCACTGCCCAGAAAGTTCTTTCACTGATTAAGTTCCAACACTTTAAACAGGCAAATGGAAATGAATTGACCATCACTGCCACAGAGTAAACCAAAGCAGGGACCTTGGCAACATTTTTTAGTTACTCGCTGTACATACTACTTTCTGTAATAAGCAAAAATGCATGCCCCCAAAGCCTGGGCTAAGGATAGAATTGCAAATCAAAGATCTAAGGTGGAAACAATCCTTTTCCTTAGGACCAAGATTCCCGAGAAGCCTTGGCTTTGCTGTTTTTCCTAAGCTGAAACCCGTTCCTCCTCTAGCAACAAGGACACTTTGAGGGCCCAGATCATTTCCCACCCTGCATGCAAAGTGAGTGTGAGTTTTCATGCAAGAAAAAGTTACATTTATGACCTGTCTGGCATGGAGATACATTTCTAATTAATTATCTTTTAGCAGCCCTTAGCTATCACAGCTGTAGAGTTTGATAGGCTCCTTAAACAATTCAGGTAAGGGGAGAGAGATGAAACGTGAATTCTGATATGGAACTCTAGAATCTATAACCACGGATGTGCAATTCATAAGTATTATTAAATCAATAAACAGAAACAGCATATTATTAAGGTATCATAAGAAAGAATTCCGTAACAAATCAATTTATTGTTAACCATCTACCTATCTAGATTCCAGCTTTAGTTTTTCAGGCAGGTTTAAGAGATGATGTTTTGCAAAGATCTCTATTACTTACGCATCAATAGTTGGAATAGCGTATTTCCCCGTGTTGGTAAGCATGGCACCCTTTGTATTAGGGTCCTGCACTTCCATCATGAAACTTCGTGGAATTCCAGTACTCTTCTTAATCCTGGGAACAGACTCAAAGTTCTTGTCCTATTAAGGAAAAACAGAAACACTGTTTAAAATATACTTCCTGCAACTTGTCAACTTTATCTTCATATACTTGTTTTGATCAAAGGATAAATTTTGTAGCTTCAAAAAGAATTGTATTCAGTCAGTCAGTTCTCATTGGAAGACAACAAATAATCCTACTGCCCTTTTGAGTGCAGATAGAGACTGACAGGGAGCTCAACTACCTTTAAACTTCAATCAGTAGCACCCTCCATTAATACTCCAACACACAGTAGTTCTTCGTCACCTTCCTCTCCTTTGCTCCCAGGACTGGAGGCACACAGAAAGCAGATACTGCCTTGCTCACCCATCCCCCCATCCGCCATACCTCTAAACCAGACCAGAAATATCCACAGAAGATACCCTAGTTAGCTTAGCGTGAGGGAATCTTCCCTCCCCAATGAATTAAGAAAAGTATTACCAAGCTGTCGTAAGGAAACTAGAGACAAGCTACTTCAATAATCAAAGCAAGACCAGTCTTACCCCATTGGTTGGGCAGATCTTTATATAATGACCAGGTTTTCCACAACGAAAGCAAGTGTATGATGGCGGTGGTGGACCCAGGGGCTTCTTCATGTAACTAAAAAGGTGTAAGAAAAGAAGTGTGCATCTTTGCAGATTGTTTTTAAAAAATGTAACTATGTAAATTGTTCCAAAGTTAGCTTTTTTGCTTCGTTTTGGTGTGTGACATGGTGAAGACTTACTTGATTGGATCATATTCGTGGCCAGACTGTGACATCATAGCTTTAATTTTATCTTCTTCAGAAGCATTGGCTTCAGCCAGATTGGCGGTCTGTTCAATAGGTAATCATTTGACAACACACATTAGAAAACACATGTAAGGCCATCCAGTCAAAGAAAACACCACTCATCCAATCCTGTAAAGAGCAGCACAATGCTAACTGAAGTTGTCTCAAAAACAGCTCAGATTATCCTGAAGATGTTCCAGGGAGTCCTTACGCCATTACATGATGTTTATGTGCCTGACGCCCTGATTAAAACAAACACAAACAAACCAACCAACAAACAAAACTGCCTTCCTTGTTGGGACACTCTACGCATGAGGCTGCTTGTACCTGACACAAAGGCTTGTGTAAGTGCACCTGTTTCCTGGGATAAATTCAAGTGGCCTGAAGTTAAATCTTTTGAAAGGTGCCTTCTGCAATTCTTAGAGACAAAAAGCCATGAATTTTAAGATGGTTACTCTGGAAAGATAGGGTGCAATTCATGGCCTCCATTTTGCAGCACAGCATTATTGTTTTACACTTAGAAATATTAAAAAGGCAGTGTCATCCTGAAAACTGAAGTTTCGGACACTTATCTGGACTATTTTTTAAAAGTTAGGAAATTACTTGTAAGTTCCCTTCTGGTATCTATGAAAGCAAAATGAAGAAATTCATCTAACATATCCAGAAAGGTATAAACATAGATTAAACAACTAACTTTTTGTCAACTGGAATCTGATGCAACGCAAAATGCTTTGGGCACACAACTTTCAGGATGACAGCCCTTTTAGGGTGCAAGCCATAGTTGTGATGTAAAGCTAACAATTCTAGAAACTTGTTAAGATGGGTCACTTGCACACTAAATATAGATATCAGCAAGGTTGAAGGGATTGGTTATTAATTGCTCAGATATCCAATCACCTAACATTCAGATCCTCCATGCACACTTTTTAATACATTCATCCACAAAAGCAAACAGCTAGTTTCAACATTTTATTAAACAGTTGATTAAAATACATAACGTTTCTTAACAATGCAGATTAACAACTATGAAATTGTTCACATTTACAGAAAACTATTTTACAAATACGTAGCTAATTTGTTTGAACCCAAACAGGTTTACAGAACATATCCAATAGCACAGAACATTAGTAGGAATAGACCAAAATTCAAATATGGCATTTAATACACAGTAGGAATAAAACAAAACTGTTAAATGCATTTCCTCTATGCAAGAACTATGAGCACCAAAGAGGTTAAAAGTAAGTAACAGTTTTGAACTGCTTTATATTATATAAAAATATTCTGCATTTGACAGAAATACTCTCTGAAGTTCTACCTGAAACTTAAATTGTACAGCTCTTGGACATTTTTTCACATCTCAGAAAAATAAACTTGACATGAGGTTACAAAACCAAGGACAAATTTAAGGACAGCACTAATGGAAACCAGACTTGCTTGATTTAAATTAAATATTTGCAAACGCATGTCAAAATTTCCAAACTAGAAAACGTAGTTTATTTTTGAAAAAATACAACTCCAGCCTTTATTCACAAAAAGACATATGAAATATAAGGCAATACTGCTTCTAACTCAAAATTTTAAAGAGCAGTCATTTATTTGGATGTGTTATCACTAGTGCTTTCCCAGACAAAATTACACATTGCTGAGCAGAAATGCAAGCAGTTTCATTGCAAACAAAGTTGATACAACAGTTTAAGAAGGTCACATTTGCCAGTATGCCACACATACACATTGGTATATTCCTATAAATACATTTACACAGTCTGTGTTCAAACAAATTAGTTGCATAGCTATTGCCCGCTATATATACTACAAGTGTACAACTGATCAAATTGTTTGATGCAAATTATTGCTCTATCTCTGGCTTTGAGTGCAGATTCCCAAAATAATCATGTAAAGTGTCCATGTGATAGGGAAATACTTCTCTGTTGACTGTTGCACAGAGAAATCCTAGAAGTCCATAAATAGTATTAAAATTCTTCTTTAAAATTGTGCTATTTTTCCAATGCAAAATTAATGTAACATATCAAAGAAATGATAAAACAGCTTCAGAAGTGCTTCTTCTTTGTGTCTTGAAGATGAATAAAACTGCAACATTATGTTGAGGCTGATAAGGTACTCCCCTTCTATCTTCCCATACTGGGAACTACTCTTTACAGGATAGTGATTAATAAATACACACAATTCCAATGTTTAGACTCAGTAGTTTTTACTAAAAACGTTTTGCATCTATGACAGAAATTAACTGTAGAAATATCACAGCATAAAACATTCAAAATACCAAGCAAGCAACAATTTATTTTGTTATATTTGACAAATATATATGTATATACCTTTGTAAGCTGGGCCAGAGAAATAGATGCAGAAGAGTCATCAATCTGTTCATAAAAAATTAAACACACATTCAAGTTCCACAGTCAACATGTAGCCAACATATTTAGCCTCAGCTGTGGTATTAAGGTTTAGCCTGAAACTATGTTCTACAGAGAGGAATTTTCAAAGAAAACTTTGGTTGAGAGGTATCATTTGCTTCTATGGACTGTGCAGTCAAATACAAAATATTCAGTTCTGCAGAAAATAAGCTAGGATCCCCAATTCACCTAATAGCTTCAACTTTGGCTATGTTGTATAACCAATATAAACAAGCTTACATTTTCCAAAGTCAAAAAATGCTACATTTAAATATTAAAGTAGGTTAAGGTTAAAAACCTTCAATTTTTATGTAATGTATGCTGTGGGAGAAGTAGATGTAAAAAATGTTCAAACAAGTTGTGGGAAAGAGCATATTTATAGACTTTTTCATTTAGATGTGTTAAAAATTTGGGTGATTCTAAGCTTTAGAAGATGATAGATGCCGCGCTTAAAGAAAAACCATTAGGATGCTGATAACAATGAGGGATCCCTTAGATGTTCTGTGAGAAGTATTGAATATAAGATGCTGAAATTAAGTGTGCAAAATAAATATTTATGCATTTTAATGAATAATTTTAAAAATACATAGATATTTCATGATTTTTTTATTAACACACTCCTAAACTTGGTATTATATAAACTAGGAGTGACAAGGTTTTTTTTCCAGTTCTAGAAAACCAGGGATATAAGACATATTTTCCAGTCCTAACTTAAACCTAATGAAATCTCTATTTAGCATACAGAGGCAGTCCTAGAACTAAATCAGGCAAACTGCAATTATGTGATAAATTTCAGAATTCCAGTCATAAAATTAACCTACTCTTAAAGCAGTTATGTCCATGATGACTACCATGTTATGCCCCATAAACAGGCATGCATGATCCGATGCCAACCACCACGAAGGGATAAGCACCTCTCGTGTACAGACAGGGCATAAAGTACGAGAACTCTAGCTCTTTCTTCTAAGGGAAGAAATCTATGTTTCTTCTAACATAGATCAAGTATATCAAGACTGGGCTTTAGCAATCATCTTGTCAATAAAGCCACAGTCTGCAAAGACAATCTCACCAAAAAAAAAATTAAAATTACATTTTTAAGTTACAGTTCTAATTAATGCTTGGCAAAAGTAATCAAAATGGTATTTTGCACAGGCAAACATTCTTCAGGTGTCTTGCAACAAGGCCAATGAAGAAAAATGGATTATGTTTCGGTTATGAAACATTCAATTTCCTATACTGTTAATGCATAATTGAATTACATATTCTCCTTCTAGCTTCTGATTGCTATTTACAGTAGTGGAAGCTTCATATCTATCTCTCCTGGGACTCAGCATGTGTCCCCAGAATGAACCCCGAGGTCAGGGGGATCTTACAGGGGAAGAACCTGTTGTGTATACCAAAGTGACCAGCTCTGAAGTTGCCCGAAGGCATCCCTTTGGTTTTATGTATGCAAATTGACAGCTGCCGTTCAGATCCAGCACAAAAAGCCAATACTATAGTGGAACAGTGGTGCACTAGCAGCACATGCACGTACACCTGGCTCTAACATCTACTGAGAACCAGCCGGGGATATCAGAAGGTTCTGCAACCAACTCCTTCAGACATATCCCATCAATCCCAATTGTTTTTCTATTAAAATTACTGTCTCGTTTATACAATATTGAACACACATTCCTCATTATTTCATACATGGAAGAAATCCAGGAGGTGACTGCATGGATCAGGAAGAAATAATGCGATTATGGACTACATGTTCAATATATAAATTTGCCAGATGAATTCCAACTGCAGATATTTGTGCAGTTTTAGGTTTCCTGTTCATTTTGAAGCATTTTACTGGGCTACCAAGTAGCCACGCAGTAGCTTGATAAAAAGTATTGCTTTTTTAAACAGTACTTAAAATCTTTATTTTAAAATGGAGTTTGAAATAACATGTGGGATGCCAAAACACTTTTTACAAGGCAAGAACGTAAAATAGATAAACTGAACACAAACAGATGGTTGGACCACCAGAGGAAAAAAATGACTGAATATAGCAACAGCTACTATTATCTAGCTCTCTTTGAAACAGGTTAGTACAGACAAATTTGCATCTCTTATGAAATAAATCAGTACTGTATTGGCCATTAGAATAACAGAAATATGTGAATCTGTGTCTGCTAGCAGCTGGTAGCCCTGTACCACCTTCTTTAATGCTGGTTTCTTACCCTTCAAACATTTTAATTTTAACTGAGATGTCATTCATCCAAATCTGAGCCCATTTGAGTTTCATTACAGATGTGAGAATCTGTCACTGCAGTCACCAATTACTGATTCAAATTTTGCACCTAATGTCAGAGCATACTTTAAGTGAATACTAAAGAATCAGAGAAATAATTTGCTGCCAGTCTTATCAACTCTGAGAAATTCCTAGGCACAATCACCAGATTTCTAGCTGTCTGGATGGCCATGTATTTTTATTTTTCTCAGCATTAGTTCAACTATGTGAATGACACACATTTTTAGCAAAGTCATACAGGTATGTGTATAGTACCTAAAAACGGCTGTATGTACAGTAGCCCTATATATGACGTCTAAAAACCTCTTAGGATTCAGTGACCATTATGGAAACTGTTAAGTAAAGGGAACAGACTGAGGAAAGAAGGCAAGGAAAGAGAATCAAAACAGACTAGGAGTCAAACACTGGCCAAAACTACACAAACTAAATGACTCAAAATGTTTCTTCAAAATGGCTAAGACTCTCATTTTAGTCACTAAACTATCTTTAATTTCAAGTATGGTAAGGAAGGTTTTGAAATGTAATGCCATACAAAAAGATGATAATAGTTGTATTTAAGGATGTCAGACAAAAGATATCATACAGGAAGAAAATAGCAGCAGGCACCACAAAACAAGGGATTCCTAGATGAGCAGCCATCATGGTGCTCTTTCACTTCCCCACAGAAACAGGGCACATGAGACATGATCTTTGCACACTGTTACACTGAATTTGTGCCATTTGTGGAGAACCGAGGAAGATATATGTATACCAGATATTCTGTCTTCCTAAGAAACAAGGGGCATTTACTCATCACAAAAGGATCTGGGGGGTCCCGGCAAAGAACATGACTTGTATACATAAGGCCACAATAGATGGGAGCACCTAGCCAACCTAGCTGATAAAAAAAAAGATGAAAGGTCTCAGAGCTACTTAGTAGTTGGATGGTGAATTCTAGTGCAGCAGGCCACAGTGAGAAGTTAAAAACAAAGCAAAACAGCCTCAGAAAGTGGCAACAGCAAGCCACTCTATTGTTTCCAAGAACTACACGAGGTCCTTGTATATAGTGACCAGGATTCGAGGCTGACTGAAAGGAATCTTTACTTTTTAATGGACCATACATTACTCTGTTATCAAGCACAGTAGGGAACGACTAATCCTCCATTTATACCCTAACAACTCAAAATCTAACACTTGCACCCCCACTCTGAATTAAGCTAATTCTAAGCTCTGGCTATGGAATGGCTAATTACATGTAGGTACTGAAGTCTCCTCTCCAAACCCGAAAAAAAACCCCACTAGGTGACAAGACTTCACGCAGACCTAAAAAAGAAACACACACCTGCCCCCAATATTTCCTTTTCTAGATTTCATCAATATAGCATTTTTGTGTGTTAGCATAGCAGCTAGAAAGTTTTTACTTGATTCAATGAACATCATCTTCGTGTACCCTAGTTTCAAATAGGCTTGAAACAGCTGAACTGCAAAACCTGACAACCTCCAAATGGAACCTTGCTCTTTCCTTTAGTGCAGTTAACAGAAATGTTTGTAGGCAGTCTCTGAATTAGTGGATTTTCTAGAGCTGTTTGCAAGCCTGCTTAAAACCATATACTTTTAAACAGAGCTATAAGATGTATAATAGACATGCCAGGGAACACACAATTCTAAATGAAAGTTGAACTTTATTTGTGAACATAACTTTTTATACATGCTAGCAAAAAGGACTAGTTATAAAATAAGAATGAGAGTAGCTTATACAAATCTGCTACATTATTTAGTTTTGGGCCACTTGTAAACAGAAATGGTTTCCAGACATGTATTGTATAACTAATAGTCAAGCAATAACTATGATTTTATTTACCACAGGAATGCTAAATATTTTTAAATAAGCACAATTTCATAAATATCCTAACCGATCACCCAGACTGCTCTTTTATTTTCTAGCATTAGAAAATGGAATGTTATTTTCTAACATTGCTCCATTCTCATTCTGATAAAGTTAACACTAACAGCACTTAATGATGACATGCCAAATTGTAACTTTAAACCCTAAGTAAAACAACTTCATAGTACTTTAAGCAAACTTTAAGCAGAACAGAGATAGATGTGTTTAATGAGTTGAAATGGGAAAAAATCCCACTGATCAATAATCGTATCTAAACAAGGGCTTACCAAAGGAAGCAACTGAATAGGCTATCAAATGGCAAAATAAAATTTAAGAATTTGTGGTGACCCAAGGGGCAAATAAGGGCAGCTCTTCTTAACTGAATAGGTCTTTGGGGAGGCCTGACAAGTGTGTCACTGTACTAAAATATCTCTTCTGTATGATGAATACTAAGTTTAACTAATTATGTCTTGCTCAGAGATAATTGCCAGGAAGTACAGGATCTCAGGATAGCAGTCACATTCTACGTTGTCTGCTCATGCAAATCATGTGAATGGGTGTGTTTTTCAGTATAAATTTAATTGCACAAATGGTCCTTCATCTTTCAATAAATGATTGAATCTGAGGAAAAAAGTAAGTTCAATATAATGCAGTTTTTGAAAATATCTTCAAAAACAATTAATGGAAATATTAAGAACAAAAGCTGATACAATGTGAGAGTGGCAAAAAAAGATACACTCCAAATATTTTTATTTCAAGGAAACAAAAAGCACACAACAACCTATACAAACAAACAGCTACCAACTAGAGACACACAAAATGTAGAACAAAATAATTACGTTCAGCAGTGCAAACCTTAACTTACATGATCCATAAGTGATCATACATTATCTGTACAACACAAAGTCATACAGGAAATAATCTAGCATTCCAATATGCAATACAGAGTGTCACTTTGCACAAGTGTTTATGATCACATTAAAATGATCTGCATTGCTCAGTTTACTATACTGAATCAAAATACAATGTAAATTACAGTATCAATGGTTCTCTGTGGGAAATAAATATTTAGAAAAATACTTTATTGCTACAATATTGTAAATTAAGCAGATTGTGTAGAAGAAAAAAGTGTGAGATTGTGTTTTTACATACTGCTTTTGAAGGTCCACTCACTGGATCAGTTCGACTTCTAAAAAAGGGAAAACATACTGTCAGAAACAGCAATGGGTATCTCACAAAACAGAAATTCACCACCAGAAACCAACAGTGCATATTAAAACTGTATGCAAAGAAAAAACAGTCCTCAAAAACTTACTTGATAAAGGCTCTGATCCTAAAGGAACGTTAACATTAAGCTTCTACAAGTACCTGCTTTCTAAGACTGACATGCAAAGTTTATGGAAAAAGGCCAAATCCCCACACCATGAACAAGGCAGTCGATTTGACTAGACAGACCGAAGCAGGATAGGATATGTTGACTAAAAGTGGTAGTAGTGGTCAAAAAACATCACCTGAGAGGAGTGTCTACGATTCTGTGTAACTTATGAGTTCTGTGATAAAGAAAAAAGGTCTTATTTAAAAAAGGCTTTAAATAAGTCTTGAATATTTTACATTTAGAAAATTATATTATCTACAATACTGACGGACTACTCAATCCCACAATATAACTTGGGACATGTGTGATATTTGCAAATAATAAAAAGAATACAATTGAAAGAAGGGATAAAATAAACAACTACTCTTTGTAGTTCAGAAGGTGTTCAGTATGTACTTTCAATGCATTTGCATTTCTATATACATTTCATATGCATACAATATTCTCAGCCTAATTACTCTGTTGGTTCCTATATCAAAATAAAAGGCTTATAAAAATATCTGCCTTGCGAAAGTGGAAGTTTTTGTTGCATCTATGGCTTGTCTCTTTAAAAAGATGTCTTACATGGTATACAACATAATACCCTAGTTCAAATGTAATGGGAAACCACTGTTGCTTGCCATATAAATGATTCATATGGACTCACAACTTCTCTTCTTTCATAGCCTCCCTCCTGATTTTATATGAAGCTTAGATCCTCATGACATCTAAATTCAGGAAACTGTATTTTAAGCCTAAATTAATGAAAACAAGGCAATATTCAAAATGATGATTTGGCAGAGTAAAGCAAATCAGTTTTAAATCTGGATGGCTATAAAAGATGAATCTAATTTAAAATTGGAAGCAAAAGCTGCCTCTCCCTTGTTGCCATAAAAGATAAGGAGACCTCCATAAAGAATCACAGTTCCTGTGATTTAAGTAGAAACTAGCTTTTCCCCTTTATGTTCTAGACTAGGTCAAATACATATGTCCCCAGGATTCAAAACCTCTTCAACAGATACTTCCCCTAATTATGTCATAATAAGCAGCAAGATAAAGTAACTTTTTTAAAATTTAAAAATCCCTCTGAATTTCTGATTCTTAATATTTTATTTTAAATTTCCCTGTAGGGCTTGACATCCAAGGCATATTATAGAACTTGCAGCCTGCCAAATTCAAACGGCTCTAGGGGTCCATATCTCACTGAAGAAGAGCCAGAAGCTGAACTCTAACGCTACAAAACAAAGCAAAGCCTACAGGTACGCACAACTGGAGGAGCACAAGCCTGGTTCTACTTTGGGCAGCAAAAAGTCACAAGCTAACAGTGTTCTGGGATATATTTAAAGCCCTACCCCACATATTTACACCTTCAAAGCTCAAGGTAGCACAAATATGAATAATTTGTATTCTGCCTTAGTTAAAGGAACAAGGCAATATTCACCATTAATCATTTGTTGAATATTAACATAGTATCTCTGCATCTCAGTAACTAAATGCTGAATTATCAAATCTTGCACCACTCTTTACTTAGATGTGCTATTCGTATATTAAACTACTGGTTAAGATGTTATTGGGTACAACTTACTATTATACTATGTACATAGGTTCCCAGAGCAGTACTCTTTTAAAATAAGGATAGAGGACAAAGAATAATCCTCCAAGACAATATCCACCTGAATCATGTCCTAGCTGAGCTCCACTGCTCTTGCCAATACACCTTCATTTCAATAGTAGAAGACAAAGGAGCTCAAAACCCAAGAATTCCTGGTCAGTTGAACAGCTTTTCCTATTCTAGACAATCAGGCCCAAGAAACTTTCCTGCATATTCTACCTTTTTATATTTAAACATAGCAATATCTGATGATAATGAACTAGTTCATGTTTCTAGAGTGACTAATTCCACAGAGCCTGAAATGGGCAACAATTTACAATTAGCAGATATATGTTAAATATTACACAAAATTATTTTTATAGTTTGAACTATGGCCACTAAAAACAGTCAAAATATAAAGTAATTCTATCCTATCTGGAAGATATTCAAGATAAGATGCAATGATCACATGACAACAGAAATCAATACTGCATCTTTCCTGACAGTCACCAAGTTTGCATAATAGTCCAAATCCTGTTTTATTTTAATGAGTATCTACAAGGTAGGGGTAAGCAAAATGTGTTATTTCAAAAGTTTTGAGAATGGAATTTCACAAAATGTTCACAATTAAAAAAAAACATTTTGAGACAAACATACCCATACTAGAAGGTATACATTTCTTTTTTAATTACCAAGAGAACTTGTAAAAGAAATATCAAATAAGAACCCAAGCTTATTTCTTAAAAATCAAGATAGACACTTACATGACATATGTTTTGCTTGTACATTTTACTCCTCCAATAGGAATTCTTCTGACAATAACAGACGAGTTCTTGGGAATCAGGGCATTATCATCAGTATACTCTAAGAGAAGAAGGAAAAACACAAACACACTTGGCAGGAGTTCCTGTTTGAAATGCAGAGTTTCTCCCAATGAGCCACCAAATTGCATGAATTCTTGGCATAATCAGGCAGGGTAATTAACACCCTCTATTCTTAAGCAGCATGTAGTGGACAACTTAGCTATTTTTCATAATATTAACTAAATTTATGCATGCCAATAAAAAATTCAGTACTTTGTGGTTATTCAAAATTTGAAATTTACATTAGGAGCAGAATGTATAGTAAATGTTAACATCTATGGACTGTCTACTAAATGTGTTACCAGATGTAAGATTTTATTTAAAGTATTCGTGCATCCAGTAATTCCAAATAAACATTGAATAAGATATTATTTTAAAATAGTATCTGTGCAATCATGGTGTGATGTTTATAAAAATTAGGTAGTCCTCTTTGAGTTGAATTAAACTACTGGCGACTTCATTGCTACAATATATTCTTGTAGCTAAGAGTGCATGAAAGTCTGCGTTGCATAGTTCATCAAGGCAATCCTAAACAAATCTACTAAATAGCAGATCTGGCATTGTTAGCATGATGCACTGCCAAGTAGCCTTAGCCTAAATGGGTCTATAGATACTTTGCCAATTTTGTCCCAGGAAAGTAACTGTATAGACAGTGCATCACAGTAATCTAGGGAGTGGTGAGCAACAAGCAAGAGAGATGCACACAGCTCCCAAATTACATAATGCCAAGAAATCAAAATAGAGAAATGTAACAATGATTTTAATGTTAGAATAGCATTAAAATCAGCCCCCCAATCATGGCCTCATCCATCACAGCCCTCAAAAGTAAGGAAAAAAATATGTATTTATCAACAAAAGGCTGCTCACACTAAAACTAAAATAACTTCATCAGCCTTCCATACGTAACTATTCCATCTTTTGATTTATACCTTTACACACACACCAGCTGTATTTCTATTATGATCTACTTGAACCAACACCAATGAATTAGAACTACTGAAACCTTTCACAAAGCATATCTAATTACAACATAGGATGAATTAAACCCAATTTTTAAAATTTAAGCTGGATGTTTAAAATCCTTAAGTATTCTGAAAAAACAAATTAACTGAAGTCAAATTCATCACTGTGTTCTAATTATATTCCATATGTTTGCTGACCACTGCATATGACAATGAGAAGTAACAGGCCAGATCAGCCTTGCAAATGCATCCTATAGTCAGAGCTCACCTCTCTTCAAAGGGGCAAAGATAAGTTAACTGCATTTGGGGGATGGGGATGGAGTGGATCTGGGTGAAGAGGAGAAGCCTGGATTTAAAAGCAGAGGTGAGAAGAACAGAAACAGCGTGTAAGCAGAACATGTTTCTGCACCCACCCCATGCACTTCTGGTTCTGAGTTCTAATGATTTGATTACGAACTAGCACAACTAAAAAGCATTAATTAAAAAAAAAAAACTAGCATAGCATGGCAAAGAACCCCTTACTATATAGTAAATTCATGACTTACTAAACAGAAACCAATTCACTTAATGATTCTGAAAAACAGAATATACAACTGAGGTAATATATAGTGTGTACCGACCTTTTGTTACTAAAACTTAAATCTATTTCCAAGTTCTGATCATATGCATTACAATTATTTTAAACAATACTTCTTCTAGAAAATAATTAAAAAAAATCTTTTCTGACAAGTGATTTAAATAATTCAATTTTCATGAGAAGCGATTCAAATTGCATTGATTTAAATTATGACAAATTAACCTTTGTCATAAAACGATATGCTCAGGATAGGTGCTTAATATTAATCTCTATACTCTAAATTATGAAATCAGGAAGCTGAAATAAATTTTTTAAACAGTGGTTTAACTCTCACCACTAATCCATGTTTACAGTTAATGATTTTATGTTTATGAAGATTCTCAGTCATCCAGGTGGAATTGTCTGGAGGTTGAGTCATGGCAACTGGACTTTTCTTTTGGTTTTTGGACCCTTCGCTACTTGTCCAAGCAGCTTCTTCAGTCTAAAAAAGTTGGTTAGGGGGACCGACCCCATAAAAGACTTCCAGGGTGGCTGTATTTCTTACTAGCATGATAGGCTCGTTGAAGGGATAACAGGAAATGTGATTAGTAGAGTCTTGGAGATGTAGATGTCTTACTCCTAGTCCCTCACTCATTTGTGTCTGAGACAACTTGTCTCCCATTTTCCAGGCTGCCCTTTCAACAGTCCCCAGTTAAGAACAGTTCAAAAGTTCACCAGGAAGGCAACACTTAACATCACCCTGGGGACGAGTGAGGGACTAAGAGTAAGACATCTACATCTCAAAGACTCTACTAATCACATCTCCTATTGTCCCTTCAAGGA